ATAGAAAAGAAATGGGTAAGATCTCAATGAAGAAATCTAAATGTTTCCTTAAGGGATTAAAAAAATAAAAGTTTGAAAGTTTGAATATTTATAGCAACAATCTGTGTATCTGAATTGGAAGACTTAATCTTTTTTTTTAAGCTTTTACAATTTTATTAGAATCTTAAAGAAAATTCCTCAGGGCAGGCGAGCTGGTAATCTTGGCAGCTGCCTTGAAGAGGAGAATGGTGGGAAGAAGGAAAAAAAGCCATGGAGCCATGCAAGCTTAGATCCGGGGTGGGAGGTCAGACCCGTGGCTAACTCACAGCCATACAGCTGGGAGAAGGAAGCTTTAGAGAAAAAGTGAAGAAATAAAGACTTAATCTTTAAACAGTGTTAATTAGAATGAACGTAACTAATAGCCTCATGGAATCTCAGTCATACTCTCAGTACAGTTTTTTATTTCATGAAATGATTGTAAGGAATTGTTTGTGTAATGGGGAGCATTAAGAATGGACCTGTCCCATGACTTTTGAAAGTGAGCTCAAACTCTAGAATGGTTAAAGCATTGTGCTGCGATGCTGGTACAGAAAAACAAATACATCCATGAAATGTAACTGGATGAAAGAGAATGGAAGGAAATGTGGTAGGATCAAACAGGGTGTGACAGAGGAGTTTAGAACAGACCTAAGAATTCTAAAAGAAACAATTTAGTATATAAAGATGATATATCAAACCAGAGAGTTATATCAGGATGCTTTGGTTTCAGGTAAATAAAAAATCATTCCATCTAGATTAAATGATACAAGAGTATATTACCTCACATAGCAAAAAGTTTGGAGGTGACATGGGCTCCAGGCACAGAATGATTAGGGCTCTGGGTCCATGTCTCTCCTCAATTCTCCAGTCCTCTATTCGCTCCTCTTCGCTCCTCCATCTCTTCCCCTTCCTCTCCTCTCCTCTCCTCTCCCCTCCTTTTCTCTTGACTCTGTCCATCATTGGCTTTATCCTTTGACTCTGTTCTCTCATTATCACAAGGTTGTCAAACCAAACAGATAAAGTTTAGACCACGTATTTATTGATTATGACTGCTAAAAAGGAGAGAAAACCTTTCCGTCACTCACAGAATAAATAGACTTTCCTTATGTGCAGTTAGTCTGGCATAGGTCATTGAAGAGAAGAAAGGGTTACATACTTACTAAATTGTAATGGGATACTTTGAAACTTAATTTAGGTCCTTACCTCTCTCTGTATGAGCATACTCTCTACTCTAGATCAGGAGGGTCTGTGATCCTGAGCACATTAGCCAAGAAGCAGCAGAAAGGAGACTAGGTGGTCATTCATCAGACTTACTATCTGGATTGCTTTATCTCAGTAGGAACTTTACCTCTTTGATCTTTTCAACCCTTTCTCTTCCACTTTCCTCCAAGCCTCCCTGTATGTACTCTTTTCTTCAGTGAGCACTAGATTTTAACTCTTCTATGACCAATCTTGTGGGATTGAGCCGTAGAATCACTGTTGTGAGTTGGATGTGAAGTGAAACCTGAAAAGCCTTGATGCCTGCTGGTGGAGCTATTGAGACTTGGTGGAAACTTTTGGAGGTGGGGCCTAACTGGAGGAAGTAGGCTGTTGGAGGCATGTATTTGAAGGGATGTGTTGTGCCTGGGCCACTCCCATTCCTCACTACTTCCTCACCTTCCTGAGGTGAGCAGCTCTGCTACACTACATGCTTCTCACAGGCTGCTGTGTCTCATCACACCCTAAAACCAATGGAGCCAGACAACCATACACTGAAACCATGAACCAAAATAAATATTTCCTCCTTTAAACTGCTTCACACAGATCTGTCTCATGAACACACACACACATACACACACACACACACACACACACACACACACAAACAGTAAAGAAAATCTGACACAATCACATTCTTCTAAGGAGCGCCATGAAAATTGTCAGACAGACTCTACTAATGTAAGGGCTATACAGCAGTTCCTTTCTTTTATTTCTTGATGTCCATGCCTTACTTTTAAAACATCTTTACCTGACAGATTTAAGCAGTACAGAGCCAGAATCTCCTACATACACATGCTGTCCTAGTTAGCTTTGATTGTCAACTTTACACAGGCGAGGGTTATCCAATTGAGGATTGCCTGGATCAAGATGGCCTGCCTGTGGGGAATTGTCTTGACTGTTCATTGATGTAGGTGGGCCCAGCACACTGTGAGTAGTATCATCCCAAGGCAGGTGGTCCTCAACTGCCTAAAAAAGATGGCTTAGATAAGCCAGGGAGCAAGCCACCAAGATAATTCTTTCATAGTTTCTGTTGTACTTGCTTGGCTGTGAGTGCCCTGATTATAGGTAATTCTACCTTCAAATTCCTGCTTGAGCTTCTGACATGACTTCAGTCAATGAGGAACTCTGACCTGGAAGTGTAAGCCAAATAAATCCTTTCCTTCCCTGAGTTGCTTTTGATCAGAGTATTTTATCACAGCAACAGAAAGAGAAATTAGAACACACACCATTTTGCAATTTGACAGGAAGACATGGAAAGCTAAGAATGTCTCTACATTACCTTTGTACATAAGAAAGCCCCAAAGTTTCTTTACTTTAAATCAGCTAAAACTGATCCTGAGCCTCAACCCCTTTTAGAAAAGATAGCAAGAAAGTCCATCTTAGTTTAGCTAGATGATAGATAGATAGATAGATAGATAGATAGATAGATAGATAGATAGATGATAGATAGATGATAGATAGATAATTAGATAGATAGATAGATAGATAGATAGATAGATAGATAGATAATAGATAAATGATAGATGATAGATGGATAGATAGATGGTAGATAGATAGATGATAGATGATAGATAGATAATAGATAGATAGATGATAGATAGATGATAGATAGATGGATAAATGATAGATAGATGATGGATGGGTGGACAGACAGAATAGATAGATGATGGATGGGTGGATGGACAGATAATCTGTCCTTGCTCTGTTCTGTGGGGTATAAAACAGCTCAGATCCAGGTGCCCTTTGATCTGCATCCTTACTAGTCTCCTATGTTGATATGCTTTTTGTCCAAGCTTCAGGGCTTCTTCAGGGTAAATGACTTGGTTACTGTGTTTTATCATAACTGTGGTCAAATATCTGAGAAAATAACTTTCGGAAGGAAGGATCTATTGTGACCCCAGGTTTCAGCCCATCACTGTGGTGAGGGCATGGCGGAGCACAGCAGCCCACCAGAGCATCCAGGAAGCAGAGAGGGAGATGATACGTACTACAGACTTTCTCCTTTTCCTTCTTGTTTCATTTGACCAAAGCCTGTGCGACGGTGCCACCCACATGGGCAGCAGCTCTTCTCTGCTTAGTTAACTCTCTTTGGAAAGGCCCTCCCAGTCACGCAAAAGATATGCAGTACTGTTCTAGGTACTTCACAGTCTAGTCAGACTCACAGTCAAGCTTAGCCATCAGAGTTTCCTTCCCAAGCTTGACCCAGGACCAGCCTCAAAAGGTGAAGCATTGCTGTTTATCTCTATGTTACTCTGGAAAGGAGCACATTCCATTCGTGGAACCCAAACCTCTAAGTCTTTTAGCAAGCTTGGAGGTGCATTCCCTCCTCCCTTTGAGGTGAGCTGTTTAGCCTAGTTCCTCATGGCTTCTTCCACCTCCCCCAGCATTTTATCTTCCTTTAAGTCTGTCACCCATAATCTCTTCTCAGAGGATTTGGAAGCAATATTAGCTTTCCTTTCCTGAAGGTAAAGGTGTGGATAAAACATGTTAAAATTAGCACCCCTACCCCAGCTGCCCAGGGCTGGAGTGATGGCTCAGCAATTAAGAGCACTGGCTGCTCTGCAGAGGATCGAGGTTCAATTCCCAGTACCCGTATGATGGCTAACACTCATCCATAACTCCAGTTCCAGGGGATCCAACACCCTTTTCTGACCTCTACAGGCTCTGTATGACATGGGTGCATTTACATGCATGCAGGTAATACACTCATACACATAAAGTAAAAATAATAAGCAAAATATTAAAAAACTAATCTCCCCCATTGTGCTGGATAGCTTTAGTGTCAATTTGACATACCTGGGTTGAGGGAACCTCAACTGGGGAATTTCCTCCATAGGACTGGCCTGTGGGGCATCTACTTGATTGTTGAGTGATGTGGGAGGGCCCAGCCCACTGTGGGTGGTGCCACCCCTGGGCCAGTGGGCCTGTGTTTGCATAAGAAAGCAAGCTACTAAAGGGCCAGGGGAGCAAGCCAGTAAGCAGCAGTCCTCCATGGCCTGTGCTCCAGCTTCTGCCTCCCTGTTCCTGCCCTGAGTTCGTACCTTGGACTCCTGGATGACTGTGACCTGGGAGATGTAAGATAAAATAAACCCTGTCCTCCCCAAGTTCGTATTGGTCAGAGTATTTTGTCACATAAATGGAGAAACAAACTAGAAGACCCTTCCCACCCACTCCCGTTCATTGACTAACTTTATTTTAGTAGTCTAGGGAAGGTTCTAAGGACAAAGTTTGGGGAAATCCAGAGAATCATAGAACACTGATATTCATAAGATAAGACAGACCTTCCAACTAGTTCATTTTATTCTTTCTGCCCTGCTCTTGAATAAGAGCTCACAGAAATCAGCTTCTCGGGCCCAGGGAGGGCTATGCAAGGACCTTAAGTCTGTGCTACTACCCCTCAGAGAACACAGGCAGCCTTGACAGGCCCTAAGCAGCAGGGGTGAATATAAACACTCACCCTTAATAGTGGCAATGAATCTTCTCACTTATTACACTCTTTTCTCACCAGGGGGAAAAAAAACAATGCTTTTTCAAATAGTGTGAATGTTAAATATTGAATGTTTGCCGAAGTTGATGTTGTCAGGCAATCTTATCGATTCTATCTTAAAGACAACATGCCTAGGCATGAGACCCTGTCTTTGAAAACTAAGAAAGTAAATGTATAAAGATAATATTTATCATTGAAATTTCTCTGATAAAAATGAGAATCACTTTGGTTTGAAGGGTTGCAGGATATCTTTTATTGACATATTAGAAACATCTAAGTGGTTTCATTACATGAACTTTGATACAGTTTACACATATCCTCTGCTTGAGACTAGGACAGAGCACTGCAGAGAACCATGTCAGGCTTCACAGGCTACATCTGAAGCACCAACACACATAGAAGAGGAAGGTCAGACACAACCTGCATATGCAAGTTACCATTTGCTGACGAAGTTCTAAGAGAATTAACAGTAGTTTGTGTCTTTAAAAAACAAAGGCTTTGTAATGTCTAGAAATTAAACCAAAGTTCTAGACTTTAAACTTTAGGCTCACTTTCTAAATTATATTTTAACAAACAACCCAGAGACTCTTAAGTGGATAGGTTATTGAAACGGTATTTTGCAACTAACTTATAGAGTTTCCAAGGAGAATGGCTAACCCCTAACTAGAAAGCATGTGTAAATCTAAAATATGCTTTGGAAAAGCTTTTCTGTGAAGTTTATTGACATGGACAAAATTACTGATTTATACATGACCTGTGATACAGTATTTTGGCCACTGCACTGGCTCAGAACAGTCTAACTCAGCTAATGAATCATCAGGAAGTAATGTGATAAGATGCTGTCTTGATGACTGTCTAGAGAAAGGCCGATGAAATGCCATAACTGGCTGACACAGCATGGAAATACCTCATATTATGCATTTGTGCAATAGGACCAGCTAGTCTGAATGAGCAATTTACCATGTTTGCTGTTTCACCTAAGCTAATTACTATGAATGTATCACACAGTCACTACTTAGGATAAATTAGGTTCCAATCTTAGCTAAAGTCTTAAGAAAATGTTCTTGGGCAGTGTCTTGCTATCCCCATAGTTAGATACTACTAACAGAGGTTAGTTCCAGTTGGCACTAATAACCACTGAAAACACATTTAAAATGTGCGGTCGTGGTGGTATGTGTTGAGTGTTTAGTAACATGCTAAAAGCAGTAGTGGTCTGCATTACTCTCTCTTTAATGCACTGAAAGTTTTTTCTTTGCCTGTGACCATGCCTACTTGGTTAGAATTTCTAACCATTAAACAGTTCTGAAAAGCATATGAGTTGTCCACACTAAACCAAGTTCATAAGCCCTAGATTTTCACTACTTTATGTGCTTTTCTTATAATTTTCTTCCTTCCCTACAAAGTACAAGGCCCTTAGTACTCCTGTGTATGTACATTTGCTAAGAGTCCCAAGGGCTACACCTCCAACTTGCTTTGTGGTTCTTGGGGTATTTCTACCATGTTCACAGTAAGTGTTTGTAAGAGCAATGCTGTCTCCAAGAGACATCTAGCCATGATGAGAGTGTTTTCGGTTTGTCATAATTTGGGGGCCAGAGTCTTTAAGTGAGTAGGAATCAGAGATGCTGCTATTCTTCCCACAATATATCCCCACACAGCAAACAATTATCAGCCCCAAGTACCAATAGAACTGAGGCTCAGTAGGCACTTATCTTGAAGGAATCATCTTTTAAATGAGCATTTTGTTTTGTTATAACTAGCACTTTTGTTTAGAATGTTTAAATTAACTTCATCTGTCCTTATAGAAATGGTATAACATATAGGGCTTATGTAGCAACTTTTAATGCTCTAAATTTTTAGGAGGTTTTCAAGGTCTGAAGAAATAAATTGATCAGCTACCTGTTGTCTAATGAGTTGTACCTGTGCCAAGCACAAGATTAGACATTTTCATATGCTCTGTTGTTTAACCACCACCACAGCTTCATAAGCATTACTAACCCATATCACAGGTGATAGAACGGAGGCTCAGAATAGTGCCACTACTTTCCCCAGGCCAAACACTTGGTAAGTGAAAAGGATGGGGTGCAGACCCAAAGCCTTGATTTGTCCTTTACATGATGTTATCCATGGGGACCACTGAGCTTCTTACCATAGAACAAATGCACACGAGCAGCAGGAGAGGACAAATAAATGAGGATAAAGCAGGAATCTCATCTAAAATGTGCTATGTCTCTTCTGTGAGTTTGTTCACACCTTAAAAAGATTTTAGAGGTTCTTTCTATAAATCCTCTAAGGCCTAGAAAGTTCAGGTAAAGAAAAAAATTCCCTCAAATTATTCAGAGCATTCAAAAAGAAATGATGGTTTGCACCCCATAACATTTTCAAAACATTAAACAATTGAAATGCTGACCACTGCTTCTGTCTGGAGAGCTATCTTACTGTATTGTTTAAATCTGTGCACATTCTATGGTCATGTATCACTGTGCTTTCAGTAAATCTAATCAATTTGTCTTAAACATTTCTTGTGGGTCTGTTATGCCAACTGTGTCATGTTTGAATTCAACTTAGTTAACTATGTGGGGGATCTGGGGGGTTTGTGCATCTCCATAAGGCTTCAACATGGAGCCTGTGTTAATGTCAGGAAAGTTTCATTTCTGGAGCAAGATTCATTTCTGAGTGGCCAACTACCATGGCATGTCAGGGTGGACCCATATAGATGTGGTATTTGGGGACTTGGAGCCTGTCCAAATTATTATGTGTTCAGAACATAATGGTGGAGAGCCAAATGATCCTTACCACTCTTGACAATGCTCACCGTACAGTGAGCGGTGGGAGTCGTGCCAGAGCTGCTTCTATGAGGAAGCACTTTGCTTCTCCTTCATTGTTTAGAACCCATATGTCCAGATATAGTCATTTGGGGAGGTTTTTGAGCCTTTTACATTCCAGAAAATGTAAAAGCCTCATTTTCTTTTTAGGCACTTTATAGACTACAAATGACATACTCCAAATACAATATAGTAAATTTCTTGCTTGCCTGCCAGAAAATACAAACCATTACACTTGCTGTGTTACCTTCAAACTACAAAGGTGTTCGTCCTTTGGAAAATTTTTTCTTCTTGTAACTTCATCTCCAAAACCCACTATCCTGAGCTGCTCTTTTTAAGTAGGCCTAGAAAATAAAAACAGAAAGAATAACAACAAAAACAAGGATTATATCAGAAGCTGCACTCCAAAACAGTCGTTGGGTTTGTTTCAGAAGTGAAGCAGAGCCCTGTCCCCGTGTTTTCTGATATTGTCACATCCCAGCTCTAAGGAATGATCGGAATAAAGAGAGGCTGTGACACTGTGTTGGACTACATTTTGGTTCTTTCCACATTGTGTAATCTATATAAGGGTGGGAAACCAGTTCTAAAAGGTTTTAGGTTATGATTTCTTCAAAGTCAGACAGCTGCTTCATCTGTTCAATCTGCATAGAATGCCTTCGAAGGAGTTTCTTTTTACTTCTCAAATCAACTCTCTTTGGTGAACTTGGAGCAACAGGAACCATAGATTTTAAGCCACTAGTAAGTGGGGAAGATGGTTTGCTGCTGGATCTAATATCTGGGATAGGTGGATTTAGATTCACATTTAAAGGTGGAAGAAAGCCAGGCCGCGTGTGAGCAATGCGATCTAGTAACAGAGTTCCAGAACCTCTTCTTTCTAGAAGATGAGGTGGCCTGCGGCGCACTGAGCTGGGGGATGTGCTGGGCACAGTATCCAGGGACTCCCGAGAGCCATGGAAAAGGGGTAAGTGGGAGCTATTGAGCTTCTTTCTGTCTAAGGGTCCTTTGCCAGACTCAAGGGACATGGAGTTGGGTGAATCAGCCCCTGGCTGTAAGTCTAAGTCATAAAGATCATTTTCCAGCCTTTTGAGGGATGCTGACTCTTTAAGAGCTGAAGGGCCTGGTAGGCACATCCCATTCTTCTCTTGGTCAACAGGAAGTGTTCCTCTCCTGGCCAGACGTGGGTGGGGGGCCTGGCCTTTCTCATAAGCTACTTTCCAGGAAGCTGGTGCAGAAGCCTGAGCCTTCAGAACTTGCTCTGGAACTGTGGGGAAGAGTGTGGGATCTTTACTGTCAATGCTGTTGGCTCTAGAGAGGGGCCCTCTTTTAGGGAATGACATGTCATTGATACTTCTGATGACTTCATTGTCTGTGCTGGTGCCATGGGTTTCATCCTGATGTATGGAAGCTGCCAACACAGAGGGTGCGATCAAACCCCAAGGTTCAGACTGGAGCCTCTTCAGTTGGGGCAAACGGGCCCTCTTGAGGTTAGACATTTTCCTGTTGGGTGAGCCTGAGTCATTAAGGACCTTAGAAGTATTACAACCACTTTGGTGTCCTGTTTGGAGGCTAAAGAAGTCATCATCCTTTTCACTGGGTAGAGAACCCAGGCCTGGAGCCTTCAGTTCAATGTCAGAAGGAGATGCACACAGTGGAGGAGACTGTCTGTCTTCTACTTTGGGTGAAGGAGGTACATTGAGATACTGCTTGGTGGTTTTGGTGCCTGAAGATGATTTGTCTGTTGTTATAATAATCACTTCCTTCCCTTTGGCTTTACAGGCATCAAGGAGATGTTTCAGTGCATCTTTGTCATCTGCATTTATTGCATAAACCAGAGCCGAAGCCCCAGTGCGATCCTCCAGGCTGGGGTCTGCTCCATTCTCTAGCAATAAGGAGACCACCTCTCCTCCAGCTCTTCTGATGCATGCGTGGATGAGTGCAGTCTTGCCAGACTTATCCTGGATATTGGGGTCTGCCCTATTGTCCAACAGGTACTTCACCATCTTAGATTTGCTGATGCTTTGCTGGTCCACATGTTTGGTAATGCATGCCACCATGAGAGCTGTTTCACCTTTGTCGTTGCTTTCATTGATGTAAGCTCCCCCTTCCAGGAGCAGTCTAGTCAGCCGGAGCCTCCCCAGCCACACAGCCTTTAAAAGGGAGTTTCCATCAGTCCTCAACTCGGTGTCGTCATCCATCATCGTGGCTGCAGCTTAGGTGCTCTGAGCCACCGGGACAGTCAAACCTAGCAAGGGAAGAGAGGGGAATGCGTTATATAGTTTACCACTAATCTATGCAGCATGGTTGTTACAGTCATGCCCTAGCCTGATTCCTAACGGTGTTGCCTGAACTAAGTTATCTAACACCTATGAGTGAGTTTCTTCATCTATAATGGAGGTCATGGAGACAATAATAACCTACCTCCTAAGGTTATTCTGAAGATGGCTTGAGATAGCCTATGAGACAATTGATCATATGAAAAGCACAATGTAAAAGCACACAGTAACTATTTTTAAAACGCAAGATATCCATATTGTGCTGATTGCTCAGCACTCAACACAAATACAGAAATCTAAGTCAGCTCTTTAAGAAAATAAACATTCTTGTCTATCTTTTTTTCACTGCTGAATCCTTAGCACTTAGCAGTGATTTACACATAATGAGTAGGTTGCTTCACAAATAATCGTTAAATGCATTGTTATTATCGATGTGCATCAAAAAGCTACTAGAAAATACACCAAAATGGTAATCCTTCTTCTAGGTAATAAGATTGGGGGTGGGGGCGCTCCATGTTTTCTTTCTGTTGTGTTCCTAAAATAAATTTGTTCCACGATGATCCTGTGCGCTCTAGTCCTCACTTTTCCAGCAGATGTCAGAATTCTCTTTTCCCTCATTCAGAATAGTTTCTACAGTGCCATGCTAAATTATTCCCTCTAGACAAACTGATATGTGGCAGAGGATAGAGAAGAGCATCACATTTCTGCTCATAAATATTAAGAAATAAAGTTCAAACCAAAGCTTCTTCCACCACAAATTAATTTTCACTGTGCTTTGTTCTCCCTGTGTGAGTTATCAAGACCATGGACTCAGAACCTCCATATTATGTACCTGAGACACCTTTCACAAATAAGGAATAATGGGCAGCCTGGCACGGATGCCCTGGTCATCCTATGGGTATCGATCACATTGAATCATGTCTCTGTCAGAACATCCTCTCCACATGGACATCCTGACCATCCAGCTCTCACTGAGATGATAGCCTGTGGCTTCCTCGTTATGGAATCCACGTCAGTCTTTCTCTTACTTCACTACCCAGAACAATTACTTCTCAGTTTATGTTTCACTGTGGAATTGGAAGTCAAAAACTTTTCTTGGTTGAAGTTGAGAGATGGATATCTATCCTTTTTAAAAACTTTAATACACAATAGATATCTGCTATTAAAAAGAAAACCAGGACCTGGGAAATAGCTTTGTCTATAAATTTCTTGTCATGCAAGCTTTAGGACCCAAGTTAGGACCCAGAATCCATGTGAAAAACTGGGCATGGTGGAGCACCCTTGCAATGCCAAAGATGGAAAAGCAGAAGCAGAAGGCCCTCTGGGGCTTGCAGGCCAACCAGCCTAGCCTAATTGTGATCCCTAGATCCCAGATAGAGAGGCTTTTCTGAATGAAAGAAAGAAAGAAAGAAAGAAAGAAAGAAAGAAAGAAAGAAAGAAAGAAAGAAAGAAAGAAAGAAAGGAGAAAGAAAGAAAGAGAGAGAGAAAGAGAGAAAGAAAGAGGGGAAGGGAGGGAAGGAGGGAGGGAAGGAGGGAAGGAGGGAGGGAAGGAGGGAGGGGAAAGGAAAAGAAAAGAAGAAAGAAGGGAAGAAAAAGGAAGGAAAAGGAAAACTGAATGGTTCCTGAGGAACAACACCCAAAGAGGACCTGTGGACCCACACACATGAACCTGTACACACACCTGCACAAACACACATACACGTGTTTTAAAAAACTACCACACTTCAGTGCCTAAAGAAGAAAAGGTCTCATTCATCCCCTCCCCTTGAAGCACTCTCCTTCTTCAGTAACAGTGATAACAGTCTAGTCTGTGTCTTTCTGCTTCAGACCATTTTCCACTTCAAATGTACTGTGCTGAGCCTAATCTTGCTGCAGTTGTGTTTATGTGTTTCTACTAGATTTTCTGCAAAATTGCTATCACCTGAGGACACTGCATGTTATTTAGTATATTGACATGTCTCTGTTTATGTCTTTCTATCTCATTCTTCATTTCTCCTTTAATCGCCTATTGATCTTCTACCTCTGTGTGTATGCGTGTGTATGAAAGAGAAGGAAAGTCTCTCTCTCTCTCTCTCTCTCTCTCTCTCTCTCTCTCTCTCTATTGTAATAATCTCCTCACTGGTCTTACATACAGTGGTTGCATTAAGTCTTATATGGATTAATAAGCTTCCCACTCTTTAAACACTGGAGTGCTAAAGCAGAATTTCCAAAGACTGACTAACTGAAAGAGGAGGTCTGGTGAAATGTGTTTCTTTTATTCCCTGAAGGATAATCCCCTGATCCCAACTCACCTTCCAGAATCATCCCCTGAAATGCAAGCTGTTGTCACATTCTGCCTACCTTAAAATGTCAGTATTTTTTAAATGCACCACTCCCCCCCCCTCTTGGCACTGTTGATGTTTCTAACTATAAGGACTCCCTGCTCTTCTTTGATTATTCATCATCCTCCAAACATCAGCTCAAATGTTACTTCCTTTGTAATCAAGAGGAAAATAAACCAAGATCCAAAAGGGAAATTTGAGTAAAATTACAATGATTCATATCCAGGTTATATAAAGAATTCCTACAAGTCACCTCCTCCAAAATAGGATATATAAGTGACCATTAAGCACAGAAAAGGTACTCAGCCTTGCGTGCAATCAAGGAAAATTAAAGCACAATCAGATGCCACTACACTCTCTCCAGCATAGCTAACAGTAGACAGAAGGGCAATCACAAAGATGCAAGAAGTTCGAAAGCATCAGGAAAGCCTGTTGGGGGTACACTCAACTAAAGCCTACACTTTGACCCAGTTATTCCATGTCTAGGTTGATACCTATGGTAGATTGTGAATCATGGCCACAATATCCTCCCATCTGGTATGTCTAGAAGGAGTTGGCAAATAAAATGGGGAAAATAATCTTGTGCATTTTTTTTAGCAAAGCCTTCATAGGCTTTGCATTGTCCAAGTTGCTGTCTTGGAACCAAGCTGCTTTGTGAGGAAGACTGGGATATCCCATCACAAAGGACATGTGGAGCTTCAACTAGCTGACTCAGTGTGAGTAAGACCATTTCATCTGTCTAGCCTCAACCAACCCCAAGATGACCGTACTGAGTAAACCCACCACAAAGTGGAGAGTTAGAGATATCTCTCTCTCTCTCTCTCTCTCTCTCTCTCTCTCTCTCTTTCTCTTAGATTTTGTGGCCTTTGGAGTCCAATCAAACACACACTAGAAGTCTTTATGTTAATTAGCATGTTTCCATCTCTGATGGCTTAAGTTAATTTCTGTTACTTATAATCAAGTTCTGACTAAAATATCAGTGTTACTTGCTCATTCATTCACCTACTTGTCATCAAATATACATTGTCTATGTACTTATACTAGACATGAAAACAAAAAGATGAATGGGTTGCAGGTATTTACAGTCCAAGAGGAGGGTAAATGTATGTTTTAATAATAAATATCTGTGGTACGCTTACCCTGTACCAGGCAATGTGCTAAGCACTCTATATGCATTATTACTTAATCCTTCCAACAATACTATGACACAGATAATAGTACTAGCCCTTTATTATTATGTTTTAAACTGGGTATCAGGGTGATAAAACCACTTACCCCAAATCATCTAGGTGTTAGGTTGTAGAGTTAGAATTCAAATCCAATAGTCTCACCTCAACGTCCATATACTTAGCCTCTAAGTAAAATAATAATTGTATTTTGATGTAGTAAGTCCCAGAATAAAAGTGAAGCATACAGCAGGGAGATGATGAGAGTCTTAAGGAGCTAACGGTGCAGATTAGGAAAGGACTCATAATGAGCAGATGATGAGGGTAGCCCTTGAGAAAAATGAATGATAGTTTCTTGACCCAAGAGACAGAAAGTATCATACCTGGGGTAGCTATGCATTATAAGACCAATGGTAGCATAGCACAGACATTTAAAGAACTTTGTAGTGTAGAGTCAAGGTGTCAGGGGGCAGAGCCACTGGAAGAGTAAGCTAACTGGTGAAAGAGGCAGAGTTCTTTATAGTGCTGCCCTAAAGGTTGGAAGTATTATGTGGAAATGGGCAAACAGTGAAGAGCCTCATGGGAAAGGATGACATAATCATTGGCCAGAGGGTGGGAATGGATTGAGAGAGCCTGGGAGGCTGTATGAAGAGGATTGAAACTGCCACAATACAGAAGCTAAGGGAGAATCAAGATGGAGAGAAGTAGGTCTGCAGGGCACAAATGAACAGTGGTCCTTTCAATGTGAGTATCAACCAAAACCTAATTACCTTTCATTTGAGATTCACCTTCTATTGTGCATCATAGATAGTAAATGCTAGGAACACTTAATACTGGAATTAGATGCCTTAATTAGGGTCTCGAAGCCCTTGCACCCCTCACTGTTGCTGACACGTCTTGAGAATTTTGAAATCCTATCACTTTGGCTGCTCTAGACATCATGATTTTATATTTAAAACATAACCCTAGGGCTGGGAAAATGGTTCCATCAGTAAAGTGTTGCTTTGCGAGTGTAAGGGCCTGAGTTGGATCCCCAGAATCCATGTGAAAAAGCCAGGTGTGGTGGAATGCACTTATAATTCCAGCACTGGAGAGACAGAGACAGGACGATCCCTGGGGCTTGCTGTCCAACCAGCCTAGCTTACTTGATAAGCTCCAGGTCAGTGCTTAAAAAAATAGAAGATGAAAAATAAATATAATCCCAAAGTACTTAATTTTCACGTGTTTCAGAATCAAAGTAGACTGGGAAGTGAGCAGTATCTCCCTGGCTCTTTTCTTACCATGCTCTTCACACACACCCCCCTTTTGCCTCTCATGGCTCCTCGAGATTTTAACGTAGCTAGAGAGGTGACTCAGAGGTTAAGAGTGGTCACTGCTCTTCCAGAGGACCTGAGTTGGTTCCCAGCACCCACATTAACTGCCTATAATTCCAGCTCCAGGGGATCTGACCCATTCTTTTGGTCTCTGTGGGCACTCACTCATTCCTTCACATGCACATATAATATAAAATAAGTAAATTTTTTAATCTAGAGATTTAAACTTATTCCTACTACCACATAATAATATAAGTAAAGTTTTTTTAATTTAGAGATTTAAACCTATTCCTACTACCACAATGAATAATATGACTTCTGATGGCGCAGGGGCTTCAAAACAAATGCTGAAGACTGAATACCACCTGTATCCAAAATTAAATTATGCCTCCTCTAACAGTGGTAGAAGGGCATGTACTATCTGTGTCCTGAAGTCCTTCAACTATTTTATTGTTTACCAAACAAAGAAAATCTTACACCCTTTTTAAGCTCAGAGTCCATCATCATTTAGAAACAAGAAGTTATAAAAAGAGGGATATTGAGCCTTTTTCTCTTAGAATACAGACTCTTTTGTTCCCACACCTTCCCAGGTCTTTGGCCTGAGTAGCTGCAGACTGAATCCACAAATTAAAGGCCTGAGAACCATGTGGCCCAAAGTTGTGGATTGAGTGCATTTTAATCATTTTATTTGTGTGTGTTGACATGGATTAGTCACTGTTCAGTCTGAAAAGCCCCACCATTCTCTGTAGCCTTACGACTGGCCTGATTCATACACTGTAGTTATCTGTCTGCTATATAGGGACAGGGGTTTGCTTATAAAAGCAAAATGCATGAAATTTAAGTCATGATGTCATAGTTCTGCCCTTTCTGTCACTTGTCACTTTTGGCTGCTGACCTCTTCAAAAGTGTCAGAAGGCTCAAATAAACCAATGTGTGCAGAAGCTTTTGGGGTAAACTTTAAGGTAAACCGTTCGTTAAGTGAGCCATTATAAATTGTGTAACTAACAATTACTTCAGTAAAGATGTAACGTCATTCACTTACCCCTTTCTTCAGTTGCAGGTACAACAAATTTCCAGTTATCATCCCTCATTCAGGACACTAGCACGCTTTCCAGTCATCTGAAAGATGGCATTATGCAAAAGAGAAAGATCTACAGACTTGTGAATACCTTCAAAATCATTTATGCCTCACTCAAAAGACTCAGATGTATACTTTATTATTCTTAATGACCCAGAAAAAGTTTCTAGGACTTTTAAATATACAAATTTTTTACCTTTTTATTTCTGGCTATAGTTTCATCCTGTGTTCCTTTACTTCCTACTCTGGTATATAAGCCTGACATCTTGAGAATCTTTATAGATTGCTTTAAATTCTTTGAGAAATGAAATAGAATATAATGTGCATTTTAAGTTGATCAAAAAGTAGTTTTGAAATCATTCCTGTCACATATTTATACTGTTTGTCTAAATATTTAATTGCTGTGGTCCAAGCTCCTAAGGGAGTACCATGGCAAGACAGAGATGCAAGACATCGGCTCTAATCTCAACTCTGGTACCAGGTAGGTGCCTGAGGAATTTGGGACAAGTGTCCTTTTTCAAAATGAGTAGAATAGCCTAAAACCCTGCCTACTTTATGGTGTTGTTATAAGGACCAAATGATAGGAAATGTGGAAATGTCTTATATGAAGTTCTATTTCTTTTTAAATCTAAAGGATTATTACACTGAGTTAGGCTTATCTAATCTTCCTTCCAAGGAGCTCTGCCATGCTCTGAACGCAGGCCCTCAGTGTAACAGTACTGTTTATTACTGCCTTCTAGCTCTTTCAACTACCTTCTCCCTCCTTGTTAGCTTCCCAACAACAATCTGAGTTTGCTGAGTGTTTTTACACACACACACACACACACATACACACACACACACACGGGGGGGGGCGGTCAGGGGTAATACGGGATCCTCTTTTATTTTATGTGTATGAATGTATTGCCTGTATGTATGTAGTGTACCCACACTATGCAGTGCCCATGGAGGACAGAAGAGGGTGTTGGATCCCCTAGAACTGGAGTTACAGACAATTGTTAGCTGCAGTGTGGGTGCTGGGATTCGAACCTGGGTCTTCTGCAAGAAGAAGTGTGCTTAACTGCTGCGCCATCTCTCCAGCCCCTACAGGATCTTCTTGATAACCCCAATTTCTCCCATAGAAGCATTATCATCCTAATTTTATAGGCACAAATTTTTTTTTTGAGACAAGATCTCGTGTATCCCAGCGTGGCCTCAAACTCACTATGGAATGGAGGATGACTTTGAACTTAGGACCCTCCTGCCCTCACCACCTTCTTGAGTACTCAGATAACAGGTGTGTTTCCAATATGCCTGGTTTTACCGGTGCTGAGGATCTTATCCAGCCTTCAAGCACGCTAGACAAACATTCCAACAACTGAGCTACAGCGGCAGACACAGATCTTTAAGTTCAGGCGGGGTAGTACTTTTGCCCATAGGCATAGTGCTACAGCTGTCATCCAGTTGTGTACTTCTGACTCCAAGTTCAGAGCTATCTCACAGATGGAATTCTGCTCAAGGGTATCATCCCACTTCTGCAGGCTGAGGTGGAGCTTAAGGATTCAGTCCCAACAGTTGCTGGTCGCATAAACTTAGCAAGTTTCTCTGTCTCTCTTGTATCAGTTCTTTCATCTGGAAAATGGGGATAATAGCATACAAATAGTACTCTCTTGGTGTATAAAATTAAATAACCCATATAGAGCATTTGGTACAGGGTGTTGGCACATGGTAAGTGCTTTATAAATGGTTAAGTGTTTGAAGAAGTTTGGACACACCCTCCAAAACCAAAGAAGCCACTAGGTTCAGCTGCAGCATTCGTGGAAGCCTAGGAGGATCTTTACACTCCGCCTCTTCCTTTTGCAGTCATGGGAAGCAGTTAGAAGCAGATCAAAAACTAAGCTCCTCGTTTGTCTTTGCAATTCTAGAGCTCTGTCTGGCAGAACTGAGGGAGTCCAGTCGCCACCCACCACAGGTAGTGGTGGCCTGAGTGCTGAGGGCTCTTTCTGAGCTGCGGGGACAGGCGAGCTCTATCCGAGGTGCTGAAACCGGGGGTGGGGCCGCGCCTGCAGGATGTGTGGGCGTCTGCGGCTGCCAGTGTCAGTCTCAGCACCTTCCAGAAAGAAGGCCAAGTGTGGGGGGCGGGGGATCAAGTGAAGCCAGAGTGGCAAGTGCTTCTCCCACCATTTCTCAGAAATCCTCAGATACATGCCCTTTACAATGTTGTGAACGTTTCCAAGATCATACCTTCTCATGGCCCACGCCTTGCAGGGTTATGCAAAAATTTAAGACTTTGCTCCTGTGAAAACGGAGACGCCTAACCCATCTCGAATCTGTAACCATTTCCTACAAAAATTCCAAGCTCCTACGCATCTCATCCCCACGCGTTAATGCAAAGAAAAAAATATTTTTAAATTAAATCCGCCTTGCTTTCCAGTCTCCCACAGTTTCCTGTGATAAAAGCGGGCAATCTACCAGCCCCGCCTCCTGCCTTGGCTACACAGCACTGACTTACTTCTGGGGAGCTTAAGGTCCCGCATAGGTGACCAGTGGAAAGCCCTTGAGGTTCACTTACCTGGTGGGATGCTAACGGAGCCAGGCCGACTCGGTCCAGGTCGTTAGGTCCACAGCATGGTCAGAGGCGCCCAGCACCTCAGCTGGTGGCTCGGGGTTGGCTGCTGGTCGGCTCTGCCAGGCTGCACCGGGGCCACAAGCTGAGCTCGCCCAGTCCGCTGCTGTGTGACTTGCTCAGAACTTCTTCAGGGTCCATAAATGAAACCTCTGCGTCAATCCTTCTAGTCACTCCCTACTCTTCCAAGTTGCGGTGGGAACGGGTTTTGGTGGGGTTTTTTTTAAGAGAAAGAAGCTTGAGAGAAACAGGAGAATCCCTCCCCAGCTTCCAGCTGCTGGTTTGCAGGGCTCCTGCGCAGCCCAGTCCTGCAGCTTGGTCTTTGGCTGGCTCTCCTGGCTGAGGAGGCACTACTGCCCGCTGCCGCCTGGGAAAGGCTCTCCAGCTGAGAACAGAGAGGGCTGTGTGGGTGGGTGTGAGCGAGGAAGCAGGAAGGAGGGGGCCGCGGGAGCAGGGAAGTGCCTACCTGCAGCTGTGGGCAGAGGTGTCGCCACCCCACCCCCTGGTCCTTATCTCTGGGAGGTAGGGATCAGGCTTTTTCATGGACTTTTCCTGAGCCCTGGAGCCGCAGGCGGCTAGCGCAGATTGCACTCACAGCCGGTGGGGTCCAAAGAAAAAGAAAGACCTTTCCCAAATCCGGCATGAGGAGGAATTCGAACTCCTGTCTACTTTGTTCTTTCCGTGGCTCTGCCTGCCTCGGATTTCCTTCATGAACTGCTTAGAGTTTCAGGATGAACTTCCAGAGTGTGAAGAAAAGAAGAGAAGAGCTAGGGTGCATTCCCTAAAATTTAGCGGTGATCTGGTTGTTAAAGGTGATGGTTTGGGCACGCATACTTCTGGCTTACATTACCTCTGTCCTTTAGCCCACCTCCTTTTAAAAAATATTTTATTAGTGAGTTCCAGGACAGCTGGGGCTACAAGGAGACCCTGTCTCAAAAAGACAAAAAATATATATTTTATTTTATTATTTTTATTTTGTGTGTTATGAGTGTAATGGGAGTAAGAAGGAGGTGGGCTGTATGGGGTGCACTCACATACAGCCCACCTCCTTATTCCCATCACTGCCCGTGGAGTCATCCAATGATTTTTGCTGTCGTGTAACAAAATTATCCCATGGCTGCTGTGCAGAGCTCTATATTTAGGAAGGGGGTGCCTCCTTCCGCCCAGCCCTGTAGAACCCTTCTCCCACTAGTCAGCTACCCAGAGGTATGCTGCATTTTCAGCTAAAAATATAAGCACACATAGCTTTTATTTATCCTATCAAAAAATGTCCTACTTCTCAAGTCAACTTTAGTCACATATATATGTGTGTGTGTATATATATACACACATATATATGTATCCCTTGAAAATTATCCATCTCTCTTTTCAAATGTGTCAGCACCAAGTTGCCAGCAGCGCTGACTTACCATTTTAATCTTCCCTGATGTCATTCTGAGGAGACCCTCTTTGCATTACTAATAGTCCATCAGTGTTTTCTATGATCTGTTTATTTTTAACCAAACTCACTAGAGGGCTATCAATTTTACTTCTCTTTTAAAAGTATAAGTATCATTTCCTACTGTGCCTTTATCACTCAGTGTTTCCATAACATCTCACACGGAATTGTAATGATGGGTGGTGCTGTTCACGGAGTTTCCCCTGCAAAGCACTTCCCATCTTGCTAAGTGAGGCTTCCTCCCCCAGAATCTCATCAATGTTTCTCTAAATGTTTTAATGGGCATAGCTATTACATTATGCAAAAGAGTAAGGTAAAAACTGGACAGAGGTGAGAAGCCAACTGTCCCAAGAACAGACCAAGGTGAGAACACCTATTCTGAAAACTCCATTCTGTTCACTGATTTGAAATACCATCCCTCATTGTACTGTGTTACATTCTCCAAACTGTATTTGACTATGTCTGTTCTTTTATACAATCATACTGCTGGATTCAAGATATTTACTTTTGATGGCTTTTTCCCATTTGTATTAATCTCTCTCTCTCTCTCTCTCTCTCTCTCTCTCTCTCTCTCTCTCTGTCTCCTTCCCTCTCTTTGTCTGGCTCTCTGGTGGCAGTACATCTGGTTTCTCCTTCAGGATATTTAAATGAACATGGTTATCCATTCATTGAAAGTTCCCAGAACACCCTAAGGAAATTATCAGGGCTTGTGGATTTTAAAAGAAGAGATCCTTGACTGCCTTTACAAAAGCACTGATGACTGCTGGAGTGTTCACTTTTTCCTCTCATTGAAGCAACCTAAGTAGTGTTATATTTGCCTGAAAGAAAAGACCATTTCTTTTATATTATAAATTACAGTTTTCCAACTGTCCTCTTACAATTACTCATCTTAGAAATGGATTTTGTGTCCTGTTTTCATCACTAATGTCATGTTCCTACCCATTACTTTTGATACTTAAGTAATCTAGTGTTATTTTGCTATAGTTGAATTCTGTGACTTCTATAATTTCCATTTTGTAGCCTACTTATATACCATTTCAAAATATTTAGTGAGCATTTCCCTAATATTCGTTGAAGAAAAATTACATTTTGTTTTATGTACAAATAATACAAGTACCCCTGCAAAGTTCATCGTACATTAGCACCCTTCTTGTTTGTGCTTTGCACTACAAGGCAGTATATTCTGTTAGTTAAGAGCACACATGGTGGAAATAAACTGCTTATATTTGAATCCCAAATCTCTGCTTTATCAACCAGGAGATCTCTGCTGAAACAAACACAGTCTGTTTATGCTCCAGTTTCCCATTGTATAAAATAAGGTTAACAGGCCGGGCGTGGTGGCACCACCTTTAATCCCAGTACTCGGGAGGCAGAGGCAGGCAGATCTCTGTGAGTTCAAGGCCAGCCTGGTCTATATAGTGAATTCCAGGACAGCTGGGGCTACAGGGAGACCCTGTCTCAAAAAAGACCAAATAATAATAATAATAATAATAATAATAATGTTAACAGTAGTGTTCACTTCATAGCACTGGGGTGGAAGTGACTGAATTAACACATTTAAAATGTTTTGTACAATTTGTGATGAGGAATAAGGATGATTTATGTGCTAGTTATGTCTATAGGTAATCTATTAATATTTTATTGTTTGGAGTTTTTGTTTGCTTTTTTGAGACAGAGTCTTCCTGTAGCCCCAGCTGTCCTGGAACTCACTGTGTAGCCTAGGCTGGCCTTGAACTCACAGAGATCCGCCTGCCTCTGCCTCCGTAGTCCTGCATTAAAGGTGTGGGCCATCATGCCCAGCTCCAATAATATTTTAAAAATAAACTGTTAAGGTCTCAAAAGATATTTAATTTTTTTAAATTCATTAAATCTGGGCTATCTGACCTCATCTGTTCTCTTTAGCATGCTGAGATTCAGCTATGAACAGGACAGACATTGTCTCCTTTTGCAGATGGGACCTGCTAAAGATTCATCAGCATCTCCATGTGTGTGTGTGTGTGTGTGTGTGTGTGTGTGTGTGTGTGTGTGTGTGCTGCTTTTCTATGCCACCAATGTCATACAAGACAGTATGGAGCAAAGGCCCTTTTCAAACTACTCCAAATCTGCTTGGTAGTGGATAATACATCCACTTTCTTACAAGTGCATGTTACATACTAGATCCAATGATCGATCACAACAATAACAATGTTTTAAACATAATTGCTGATAATAGCAATAAAATTTTAATAATCCATATTGTCAGTTCCCTCCAGCCAAAGCTATTAGACACTAGATTTGTTGTTTCTTGCCATTATTTCCTCTGCTATTGGAGTCTTTTCCAGAAAGCCCTTGACCATGCCTATATCATAAAATCTTTTGCTTCTGTTTTTCTCTAACAATTTTAGAGTTCCAGGTCTTGTATTAGTATCTTTGGTCCATTTTGAATTGATTTCTACACAAGGTGAAAGATATAGATCTAGTCTCATTCTTTCACATGTAGAATACACCTTTTCCCAGCACCATTGGTCGAAGAGGCTGTCTTTTTTCCAATGTGTGTTTTTGGCACCTTTGTCAAAGGTTAGGTGCCTGTAGTTGTGTGGCTTTCTTCATTGTTCACTATTCTGTTGTTATGAATGTCTGTTTTTGTGCTAGTACTATGAGGTGTTTGTTACTATGGCCCTGCAGTATAATTAAAGATCAGGTGTTGTGATAGCTCTTGCATTGTTCTTTCTGCTTAAGATTGCTATGGCTTGGGAACTTTTGTGTTTCCATTTGAGCTTAAAGGTTTTTTTTTCTAGTTCTGTGATGAATATCATTGGAATTTTGATGGGGATTGTAATGAATCTGTAAACTGCTTTCGGAAATGTAGCCATTTTGCAATATAAACCTTGCCAATCCTTGAGCATGGAAGGTTTTTCCATCCTCTAATATCGCCTTCAATTTCTTTCATTCTTCCCATATTTTTATCACCATGACTAGTTTACTCCCAGGTAAAGATTTTACATTTATTTATTTTGGGTATATGTATGTGGCGTGCATGTGGAAGTCAAAGGACAACTTGCAGAAGTTGATTCTCTCTTTCCACCATGTGAGTTCTGGGAACTGAACTCAGGTTGTTAGCCTTGGCGGCATGTGTCTTTACAAGCTGAGCCATTTCCCTGAACAAATTCCCAAGTAATTTTTTAAGATGTTGTGAATCATTTTCCTGATTTTTTTTAACTTTTAAAAAATATTTATTGAGAATTTCATACATGCATATAGGGTGTTTTGATCAAATCCACGCCCATTTCCTCCCCTCCAACTCCTCCCATAGCTCCCTATCACCTTTTCCTGAAAAACTTCATGTACTCTTTCTTTTTTTCATGGGGCTTTTTGCTACTCTAACATTCACCCCTCTGAAGAGGTAACCCTAAAATATTTCAGAAATTAGTTAAGAGGTCCCAAATACTTTTGACATTTTTTAAATTATTTATTTAAAAACCACATAATTAGAAGAAGCATTTCATTACAACAGCATTGACATATTCAATAACAATTTCCAGAGCTAAGATGCATCTCTTTCAAAATTGGCTGTAAATTTTTAGGTTTACAGTTGAACTAATATGGTTTTACAATATTGTACTCAGTATAAACCCTATAAGACATAAAATTGAATCAAGTTTTAACATTTAAAAAAGATCTCCATTTCATTTTAAAATATACTGTTTCATACATCTGGGGATGCTAAGCAATTCTTATTCCCTTTTAAGGTTCTAGTGTCAAACCAATGTTTAATTAAAGTTTTTCTGGGGAACCAATGAATTTATTGAGCTTACTTACCGAGATAACTGAGGGGTTTCTGAGGTGTATGTATGACCTGAGGGAGTGCTCTGTGGAAAGCCTTTACCCAGCCTGGGTCATCCCATCTCTTCCTGGCCTTCCCCAGATTGTATACTTTAACCCTCCCCAAAACCAG